AGGCTGAGTCACACAACCTGAGCCAGATCTGATTAAAGTCACTGTGTTGCAGCAGGTCCAGAGTCAGAGTCAGAGCCAGGCCACAGGATTTCATTTTCACTTATGGAAAGTAAAAAAAAAAATGTATCAATGAAATGAAACGCTGCTCCTGGCTTGTCTCTGCCAGCCCCACTCCCCGAAATAGACCGTTGCTATGTTGGCTGAACCTGTACGGATTCAGGCAGCAACGGTAGCCCCTAGTGACCATTAGAGGGAAGTGCAATAGAAATACTGAAACTCCAAATTTGGTAAATATAAAGACTACTATAGTGGGCGCTTTATTAATTATATCAGCCATTGAAACTGCCTTTTGTTTAAATTGATGTGTTTAAATTTTGATCTAATTTCTTCTACCTGTTTTTATTTCGATTTACCTTTTGACAAGTAAAAATCTTTACAATAAAAAATCATTAAAATTAAACAGGCAAATTCCATCCATACACATTCAAATTGATGTATTTATAAATCATTGTGAAATTATCAATATAGTAAAAATGAATAGTTAGAATAAATTTCATGTCCATTTAGACCTGCTTGACATCAACATTTGTTTCATCTGTCTTGTGTAGCGGTGCTGACCTCTGACATGTCTTTGTTTGACATACATTCATTGTAGAGACTGTAGATCCATCTGTGGTTTGGCGTGACGCTGTATTGTAACTGGTGTGGTCACTGATGTAGACTGACAAACTGTTTCTCTTTAGGGATTGTAGAGGGTGGGGTGGTGTGGGTGGTGGTGTTAAAGGATGGCAGAGTGAATAAGTGAGAACATGCTTGGTTGGCCTTTGGATTCCTAACACACGCCTTTGTTTTGTTCTTGAGGGTCACAGACGAACCTGAGAGAATCAGCAGATCTCCGGTCACAAGGTGAGTACTGATTTTTTTTTTTTCCTTGGTCTCTTTTTATAGTTGCTATCACCTGAAGGCAGCACAGGAAGCTCAGCTTCTTTTCAAACATACTGTTTTGTTTACGTTTACATGGATGTACTAAAAGGCAACTTTATGACTAGTTTAACACTAAATCTACTGTTTATCACTTGAGATGTTTTTCTATGGGGGTCGATGCTGATTGGACGAATGGTAAGAGATTTCACTTCTTTGGAAGATGGACTTAACTGGGAATCAGTGAACCCATCAGCTTTTATAAAAATAAAAAAATAAAAAGCTGAGCTTGTTGTTGTTGGTTGCTTGGTGATAGAGAAAGACGCCAAGCTGCTATGAAAGAGTCTGTGAAAGTCAGTGAGTGAGTCTAAATGAAGCTTTCCCCTTGTTACAGTCGCCGAGTATCATTGAACAAATTCACTCCATCTTAGAAGCATGAACTGTTCATTAGTTCATTAGTGGTTTTCTAGTTTTTTTAATTACCACAATGAAGAAAAAAAAATCTTTCTAAAGCTCACTGAAAAACACTGTATCATATGTTAGGCATTAAGAATAGCATCATTATTTTATCTAATGAAAGTTCCAAGCATGTGTCTGACACTGAAGATTTGTTTTCCCTTTGACCTCAGCTCTTGCTCTTCAGTCTCAGTCTGAGGTTAAAAACAGCAGGTAAAGCAGGTTAATGTGAGGTGCTGTGACTGTAGATGAAGAGCCTGTGGTAGAGAATCCTGTGGAACGTTAACTGTGTGTTACTGTGATGTGGATTTTAAAAAAATGAAAAAGTGTCGTTTATTTTATAGACCATCACTTTGAGATGGACCAAAATCACTTCCATGAACGGTGACGTTGCGATGGTGGTTGTTTTGTTTTTTTCTCTCTCCCTTTATTGTTGTTAATCTAACGGCAGAGAACAAGTATAGACGTTTGCCTTCTGAAACATTACTATATTATTTCTTACTACCATCTGCACTCACGCTGAAACAAATTTAATTACATGAACTTATTTATTCTAGAATCTATATATCTATAGTTGAATCCCCCCTTCCCTCACACTGGTTTATTCAGCTCTGTATTAACAGACGATGTGTTTCTTCTACTCTTACATTTCGTATTTCTTACACTTTTTGTCTTCCCACCACTACTCTAGTCGCCATATATCTGGGCATCAGAAAGCGACAGAGCCCCGGACCCCCAGATGCGGATGGGATGTGAGGGTACGGAGCCCCCGCGACCCTGCTGAGGTGGTGCTGGCCCTGCGGGAAGCGGCACAGGGCTGTGGCTGCCAGGTCCACTTGGCAGGGCCCTTCCTCCTGTCCTGCACCCACGGAGCTGCCGGGGCCCGGGTGGCCTTTGAGGCCGAGGTCTGCCAGTTGCCCAGCGGGCTGGGCCACAGCAGCGGCGTGAGGTTTAAGCGCCTGTGGGGGGCACCGCTAGCCTTTAGAGATATCGCCACCAAAGTGTCCAAAGAACTGGAGCTCTGAGAGCAACAGGAGGTGGGGCAGGGACGGCTGCTGACTGGAAACGTTCAATAAGAAGAAGGAGGAGGAACAGTAAAGCTGACGCCATCGTAGCCTCCTCTTCCTCCCTAAGCTCTACCTATTCTGATGAGGCCAGTAACACCTCACCTCCTCCAAAGACCCTCACCTTCTGATCCCACCAATCACAGCTAGATCACAGATGCCAGACTACCATCTTCCCACTTAACAACCAGTAACCTGGTGATGTCACTGAGCTCAAACACCTACTTAAAAAAATATTCAATTCCCACCATACATGGCCCCCCCACAGTTTTGTTTTCCTCTTGAGTTCATGCTCAATAATATTTAATGTTGACACAGAAAAAAAATTAGCAATTTGATCATTTTCATCATTCCCATTTCCCCACAGTTGTTCTTATTTCTCTTTTAAAGAGCTGCTATTAAAAGTTTTTATTTTTATTTTATTATCTTTTTTTTTCTTTAAGTTCTTTAGAAGCAGGAAGATGTTTGACATCTGTTGTCATCCTTGGAAGCAGACATTTTGGAGGGGTTAAGGACGCAGTCTGACTTCCAGCCTCTAGAGGGAGACATGCAGAAGTGCAGAGACTTGAAACAGACTGAAAGAAGCGCCACAACCTCCCAGCTCATTTGTAACTGTCGAATATCATTTCTTGGTCACGGATGGATGGTGAGTTAATGCAGAAGCCAAGATAAAACGATGTGCTTTAATATCCAATGTTTGCAATGTCATTCTATTTTAAAGGAGTTTCTAATCCAAATGAACCCGTACATAAAGCGTGAAATATTTCGCAGAATAGCATTTTTACGTCATCCGTAATTACATTAAGTTATTTTCAGTCAATGAAAAGAATCTATAATAATTCCAGATTATTTGACTGAGATAAACTATAATTTGTTTTTTACATAAACAAACTTTTGGACCCTGGACAGATCAAATATAAATGTCTGTGCTAGCAAAGCATGAAGGTATTAAGTTCAACCGTTTTCCAAACAAAACTAGTCGTATTTCAGACATTTATCATTTTAATAATTAATTATAAATGTCCATTTAATCTGATGTGATGACAGCAAATGACACCAAACAAACGTCTGATTCTAAATCAAGGAAAATATTAAACTTCCTTTTCAAGCTGAGAACAGTTTCTCTGATAGCACTTCACACCAACACTTACACACAAAGACTTGAAAACAACAGGACTTTATTTGTCTTAATTATTTTTATTTTTGTTGAAACCAATAAGCACTTTTTTGTTTTTCAGTCAGTATCAGGTGTTATTACTGTAGCACTGTGGAGCATTTCTGTTTCTTTTTTGTTGTTTCTTTTTTATTTTTTATTTTTGTAATGTACACATTGTTTTAACAGTTCAAATTAACAGTTGAAAAAAAGTCCCTGGACTTGAAACTGAACTTGCTGTGTTAGCAGAGAGAGGCCACTAGAGTCTGCCAGAAGTGACTGGAGTTCTGTAGAAATCTGTTCTACCTTGGTTGATGATGTCAGTAGTTTCAGAGGGTTTTTCTTTTTCTAAATTACAACTGCATGTAGAGAGACACAATAGAAGATGGAAATAAAAACAAATGGGTGAATATGATTGGTCAGTGTGGGTGATTGACAGCTATACTGTCATTCGTCAGCCTCTGAGACAGTGCAACACGGCCAGACTTCCACTGAACATTGTAGCTGTGACTCACACCAGTGACCAATTGCGTTCGACGTCCCACATCTTCTATTGACTGCATCTCTTCCTGCAACTGTAACTTACAAAACAGACTTGTATTCTCTAAATAAAAACCCAAGATGAGACTGTGACATCATCAGGAAGGTGTAGATTCAACATCAGCGGTCAATGACCCCATTGTCCATTTGTATGATGCACACAAACTGATGAACTTTATAAAGCAGTGGCATTTCTGGTGACCTCACCCTGACAGTGACACAGCTCCGTTCAGTTCATATGACCAGTCTATTGTTACAGTGCGCTCCAGTTTCCAATTTCATGATTAATTTCAGCTGATGTCGTGTTTTCTCTTTAAATGAGAGTGTGTTTTTATTTTCACTTCACCACAGAGACATAGCGAGCGTTACAGATTGTGCTCATGTTGTTTGGTCACCTCGGCTCCTTTTCTCTATATACTGTAGACTTTACCCTGTGACTGCAGAGGCCGCAGCACCGATGAGAGGTTTACGACTGTTGATAGATTCCATTATGACTGTATCAGGTCTACGACTGTTACCCAATCAGACCCCTGCCTCACCAGGCCAACGTACAATTGTAAATGTTGCAAGGCCATGAGACAGTGGTGTGATGTAAGAATGTGACCTGGAATTACGTTTTTACACTTTTTTTTTTTTTAATAATAAAGAAAAGAAATCTGCTCATTGAACACAAACACACCAATATTCAGCCACAGAGGGCTTCATTGACCAAGTGTCAAGGCGATGCCTTCGCTCCAAGCAATTGCATATGTTAGCGTAGTTTGCGGCACCACTGATGTGCAGATGTACGATGTTGCAGTATAAAGAGCGTACGTGTTTACCAGTTCATGGGAGATTTCCACTACAACTGTCTGAAAATGTGAAGCTGTGATTTAGGGCTTAGTTTGTCTCTGTACAACGTGGCCTCGCTCTGTCCACCTGTTCTCTTCATACAGACCAGGCCCTGCTTTGTGTCATGTGTTTGAAGCTGTGGCTCTAATTAACCAAACTTAATTTATGAGGTAATTATGACAGAAATGATTGACCTGCAATCCTGCATGTCTCCTAGAAAATGATGTGTGACACAAAATAAAGACTTTCAACTTCTTTCTTAACTTTTGGGTTTTTTTTTAACAAAACAGAATCAATACATTTTTATTAGTTAAATCACCTGTGTGTCAAGATTCTGGGAACACAGTCCATAGACACAGACAGGCAAACTGCAGACTGAAGCAGATGAAGAGTTGTTTTACGTCTAGACTTCAAGAATGATGTCCATGTGATCTGTTTGGTATATTAATATATATGCATACCTTATAGTGACCTGAAAGTAGTATTAAAAAAACAATTTTCTATTTTGTTCCACATTTCTAGGATTCCTGGGAAGGCAGCTTTTCAGTCCCGGTAATTGGACAGAGGCAAATTTCAGAAACTTTCAGAAACTTGTGGGATTTTAGGCCACACAAAATGACTTGGCGGGCCACATTTGGCCTGCGGGCCTTGAGTTTGACACATGCTAAAATTTAGAGGAATATTGTGTAGTGGAGGCAGTTGCTATTTATTGTCAGATCTGTACTAATTACTTTTAAAAACTGATTTGTCTGTAAATAGTTTATTGTTAATGCATGTTTTGTCTTCTCCTGTTACCCCCCCGACCTTACACAATACACAAACAAATTCAAATTACATGGGGCATACTTTAATTGTCCATTTATATTTTACAACCAAAAAATACATTTTGGTGTCGTCTACATAGCCATTGACGAGACTATGCACGGCTTGATCCCAGGATGTTACAGAGAAGATGGGTGACAGGTGATGAAAGTGACGGTGACTCAGTGAGACGAGTCGAAGAGAGAGCAGGAAAGGAGCCAATAAGAGAGATGAACAGAGGTAAGTAAGAAAGAAATGAGTGGAGAGAAAATTGGAGTTTCATCTGGTCAGAAGTAAGAGGAAAGTAGCTAGTTCGCTGAAACCGGTGCTACTCGTTCAATTTTTTTATAATATATAAATAAAATAAAAAAACAAACAGACAGTCATTCGGTCAGTGGTTGTCTGTCCACTTTACTTCTGGGCGGGGATCATGTCATCAATGGACTCTCCCTTCTCCAGCTTCTTCTCCATCTCAACCATCAGCTTGACACCATCAACCACCAGCTGGACCTGATCCACCTCGGAGGAGCCCAGACGGTCAGCGTTGGAGATGTCGAACACACCACCCACGGAGGCTGTGTCCACACCACCTGTAGAAGTGAAAGAGGGAGGGAAAAGGTGAATCCATGGTCGGGTCAAGCTGCCAGACAACAACAATACTGGAACAAAGGTTTATCATAAATTCTCCTTTTCACTTCCCAGCCAGACCGACAGTAATGATCTGACGTCAGTACCTGTGCCGCGCTTCTGCAGACGCAGTCTGGTCAGGATCTCCTCAAACTTGGCGTGTGTGCTCAGCTTGGCCAGCTTGACGTGCACACCACCACGCAGACCAGTTCCCAGGTTGGAGGGGCAGGTCAGGATGTAGCCCAGATGCTCGTTCCACATGAAGCCGTGGTTGTGCTTCTTGAAGATTGCCTCAATCTGGAGAGAGAGGAGTGACATTAAAGTAAGTTGTCCGGCTTCTATGACGCAACAGAACTGGAAACCAGCGTCAAAATTTCATATTCCACTACTAAACTGTGGTCCCAAAACTTTTTTTGCAGCGCCCCCTTTGGTAAATAGAGCCAACCCATGTTGGTGCTTTTTGTGCTGTACCTTCTGCAGGCCAACGCAGAAGCGTCTGAAGACCTCCTTCATGTTGCCGCCCAGCTGCATGGAGATGACACGCAGGTGATCCTCCTCGTTCACCCAGACCAGGAAGGTCTTGTCGTCGTTGTGCCTGTGAGGTGTTTGGAAAACTACTTTAGAAATTGGAAGGATAATTGGAAAGACTTTAAGACTAACTCCTCTTTATTACAGGCTGAAACATCACTGACAACACTGTTCATTTTTTGTGCTCCTCACCAGATGCCTCTGCCATCGGGCCAGTCACGGGCCATTCCAGCGCAGGTCAGCAGGGGGGAGACGGGCTTGTCAAACAGGAAGTGATCAGCGATCAGCTGCTCCTGTTCGGCGTCGGACATACCAGTCAGGGGGTAGTACTTTCCCTTGAACTCACCTTCCAGGGTGGACAGGGCTGAAAATACAAATCACAAAAGAAGGAGTCAAACCTCCAGCAGATTTATCCACTGTGACGTCTGTGCTCTTCACAATAAAACAATCCTGACAATTACCCTCAATGGACAGCTTCTCAATAGCTCTGCGCTCTCCACGGCTGTTGTGGGGGGGCAGGGTGAATCCCTTGATGCTGCGGCCAGTACGGACACGGCTGGACAGCACGTAGTTGGGGTCCAGGTCATCACCACCCTGAGATAATACAAAAAAAAATGCAGTAACCACATTACATTACTGTGTTTCATTATCAGGGTTTCCTCTTCATTTCAAAGTACAGCCCTGTCCGTGGACCATTGTCACAGCTCTGTCATCGACCTCTCTTCTTCTCACCTTCAGGTTCTCGAAGTTCAGGTCGGTCTTGTGCTTGTCAGTTGGCTTGTAGCCACCGTGACGGTCGGAGATGATGGGGTCCAGCAGATCCTTGAAGACTTCGTAGGACTCCTCATCACCGGCGACACAGCCGACGGTCATGATGAAGGGGTGACCTGGAGAAAAGAGAGAGGAACAACACCAGGTTTATCGTCTTCATCGATCGCCGCAGGTCAGATTCTTGGCACAGATTGTGCCTCGTCTGGTGAAGATGTAATTGTGCACGTGTGTCTTACCAGGGTTGTCAACACCAGTCTGGATGACGTCATCCACGGTGAAACCACTGGGGGTGGATTTGCTCCTCAGCTTACCATAGATCTCCTTGGTCAGCACCTGGTTCACAAAAGACACCATGCAGGTCAGTGATGTCAAAGGTAACCTGCAGAGAAAAAACAGCTGACGTCACAGCTGACGGCTCATTACCTTGGCCATGTGGTTGTTGTGCAGGGACAGATCGGGGAACTCGTCCTCCACGGAGAACTTCATTTTGTAGTCGTTATGACAGTTCTTTGCCATGGCTGCGATTCTTACGCCGTCTAAGAGAAGGGGAACAGCAAGAGGAGTTGGTGAGTCATTTTTAAAAAACAAAATCTACAACTGTACATCTGGTACCATGGGTCTTTTCTGGGAGTTCACCCAGTTTTTCAAGGAGTCTATCAATGAGTCGCCTGGTAAAGAGGAGACCCCTTCTCATCTTTGTTTTCTTTCTTTCTTTCTTTCTTTCTTTCTTTCTTTCTTTCTTTCTTTCTTTCTTTCTTTCTTTCTTTCTTTCTTTTTCTCTCTGCTCCTCCTTTGTTCCTTTCTTCCTTTCAGCTGTGCCTTCTACAGGTTGCTCTCACCCATGTTTCCGCTGCCTCTGCCCCACCCACTCCTCACCCTTCACCCCCTCAGTGAGGTTTATAAATAGTGTAACTTTGTCCTTGCTGTGCAGTGGCTCCTGCTCTGCATTTGACCCTGTGAAAAAAAGTCCCTCTGTTTCTCTCTTAGAATTAGACAAAGCTCCTCTGTAATGGATGTTCCTTGAAATAAATATATAAGAAAAGATATAGACCTTTAATGCTTCAATTTTAAGAGACAATTTGTTTTTAGACAGTATTTCAATCAGTTTTTTTATTATCAGAGCTCAAGGCAGATAGTTTAAGTCATTTTCATATTCAGCCTCTCTGACATACACTTATTACCAACATAACATAACATAAGATCACAACACTGACTCACATTAAGTCAAGAGAAAATTCTGCAGACCTGAACTCTACAGAGCTGCAGCTGAGCAGGAATAGAATAGATAGATTTACGACTACCAGGCATCACTCTGTGTCTAATTTTAAGTTAACCTCCCTCTCTCTCTCTCTCTCTCTCTCTCTCTCTCTCTGACCAATGACACCTAACCCACTAAAAGGTCAAGACTTGCTTGGCTCACAGATGGCGCCACCGTACGCTCCATGTCTAAATTGAGAACTTCTGGACGTTTCACGGACACACCTCAAACCTGCTCTGCTAACGTCAGCAACAGCTGAGGGAAACTTGTCCGCCCCCACTCCCACTCTCCCCCAACTCCCGTTGCGACAGCATCCAGAACAAGTGTCAGGTATTTAAAAAGACAAAAAACGTTAGTAAAAGAAGTCAAATATAAATGACGCTGATGGCAGCGTGATCAAAGTTGACCGTAGAGCATCCATAGTCGACATAACGTGCAAAGACTCAGGCGAACCAAACAATGTCTGTGTGGAGATTTCTGCATTATTTGGGTCAGAAATCCCCCTCCTCCCTCTTAGAGTATTTACTTCTGCTTGTGAAGTTTTGTCACAGAGATGCTTTTTTCTATAAGATTTTCCATTCTGAAAATTTTGTCTATTTCACCACATTCAAAAACTGCAACTAGTTCAGATTCCAGTTTATTACCTGCTTAGGAGAAAAGGAAAGAGGTAACAGATCCCGGGATCAGATCCTGTCCACCAAATGTAGGGGTTGCCCAACTCTGCCAGGTGATGGATTTTATCATTTATACCCCAACCTCTGTCCCTATTGGCTGACCGCGCTCGGGGCACACTCATGTGATTGGTCGTAGGGGGTCTTCTGTCCATGATTGAGTTTCTAAAAGGAAAGAACGAACATCACACTAGACTCGAGAAGAGAGACAAGGCAACAGCTGCAGCTGCTCACTTAAACCTTTCACCATCTGCCTGCGTGTGGCGTTGGGATCTGCAGGAAAGACGGCGGTTACAGGAATGTACGAAAATAATATAAACAACGCAACTTAACATGTGCATAATTCTGCTACGACAATGAATGCATTTTTAAAAATGCACTTATGTCATAACCTGAAAACCACAGCAGGTGAGTTTCAGGGACTGGATTCATGTCCAGCCGTGCACACACGTGCAATAGGAGACAAACACCGTGTCCTCCATTACAAAACTGTAGTTTTAAAAAAAATTCATTGAGCCATTCAGCTCTAATTCAAAGTATCTGCTTAAGATGTGTGATACATCACTCGGTGTCAGATGTCATGTAGTGCTCCATAGTGACAGAGTGTCCAAACTCCGGACATGTGACAAAGCTCCGTTCCACTGTTCTGGTTTTTCCGGTGTTTCTCAGAGTGTGTTACAGATACATTGGCCTTTAAGTGTCGACGCACATCATTTCCATCTAATTAGTAATAGATCGCACCCAGTGAGCTACCCACAGACAGATACTGAATCATGTGACTGTGTGGGAATTGATAGTGGGAGCCCAGAGAGTCATTCACTGTTGATGCCGGTTTTCCTGGATCAATCTGGAAAATGTGTGATCACATGAGGGATCGGCTCGGACAGTAATCTGTAATCTGAAGCTGTCTGGGTAGAGAGGAAGTTACCTATGTTATGTATAAATCTGAAGAGGTCATTGGTGTGGAGAGTTGCATCGAAATAACGTTCCTGTCAGGTGGACATCTATTTCCCAGAGCTCCAAAGATTTTTCAATAGCACCATAGCAGGTTTTTTTTTCTTTGTTTTTTGTAGCATAGTAGGTATCAGTTTCATTTTAGTGTATCTTATAAATATATACAAAAGCTGATTTTCAAGTGTATACCTGACCATTTCTTGGTCACTTTACATGTTAAAGTCAACAATATGCCAATGATTAGACATAACCGATCAATTCTTATATAACAGGGTAACAGCTAATGCATAATTACTGACCTGTTTTTTCACCATTTATTCTTGCACATAATCAGTGAGCACTAGCTTGTAGCGCTAATACACGCCACGTCACAGCACACAG